TGAAATTTTAAAAATTGCCTGCACATCAGCATCAAAATACCTTTCTATGATATATAACTGTTTATACCTTAGAAGTATAGTTTAGCCGTAAAAGGGGTGTAAAGGAAACATGATTGCCTATTTATATAATGATGATATATGATGATTTATTTTTGATGCAGAACGCGAAGTGCGCCATAGCCGAATGGTGTGTGGCACAGCTTTCATGCTCGCATAGTTGTAGTATTGCCAATTGCGCAAATTAAATTGCCAAACTGGCACACATTGGCATGGCATACATACACACACGCACACACATGCCGAGTTAGTTGCCAACAAATTTGGCCCAGGCTAAAATTTAATTTATACCGACCAGGCGTATGAGTAACAAGAAAATTAAAGCGAGCCATGTGGCTGTTAGAGTTGAATGCGTAATGTAAATGTGTTTAGCATTTGAGCGTTTTAGAATTTAGTGTATCAAGTGATTTTGATAAAAGCGATGAAGAATATTGTAATATTACATTATTGTTGTGTCTATAGAAATGAATAATTGTTTGAGAAAGTTCGCGCGCGATGAATTAAGGAGTGTAAAGTGTGATTATCTGAAGGTTCATAGCATTTGGGAACCCATTCTTACGCGGAAAATTGCAAAAGAAAACACAGACAAAGATTGATAACTGAGTTTGTTTTTTTAATAACTAGTTTTCCAATTTTAAAATTGTGAAAAAGACACCTCTGAAATCCGCTCACATTGCAAAATAAATGTTATTTAAATTTTTTTAGGATTTAACACGCTATTTTTTTGGGTTTTTCGGTATTTTTTGTGTTTAATTTTTCTTAATTTTTGTGTCTTCCTTCGGGATATATTCGGTACCTAGTTCGGGACAGTTTGGTGACTTCTCTTGGAGCATAAAATTGTAGTCATTAATTTGAAGCCATTGCAAAGCTGAAAAATATCGGATTTAAGGAATAGATACCTACTCATATCGATGCTTTTGGCTATGAAGGTATTCCTTATGTAATAAATAAGTAAATTATAAATCATAAACTCCAAGCTATATGTTTAATAATTCTTTGGAAGAAATTATAAGAACGTTAGTATGGTTTAAGAAAAAATTTGCAAAAATTTAAGTACGATAGTTTTAAAAATCTGTGAAACAAAATGATCCGAATGGAATTTTATAAAAGGAAATTCTTTACAGCATTTAAAATATGAAAAAATTTTTAGTTTCTAGATACCGCAAACAAACATAATTTTCTATATGACATCTACTTTTCTCCAGACTAGATGCCAAGAAGGCTTTTAAATTTGCTGGAATATTTCGGTTGGTTCCAAGATTTTTTTTAATCAACTCTTTGTACCTTACTCGTTTTCTTCTTTGTTGTTCAATAACAGAGCTAGAATTCCACTACCAGAGCTAGAATTCCACTACCTTTAATACTTTTCTGCACTGAAAATTCATCCAGTTCCCTGCTCCACTCGAACAGTAGGAACCCAGATAATGTGTGTGATGAATGTCTCAGCCATCTCGTTGAGACATCGGCGGCACTGAGCAACAGCTTTTGAAGTCAGCGACCTTATTTTCTAGAAATTTAGTAGCCGCCTGACTGTTAGTGAACTTGTAAATATATACCACGACTAGAAATCGTATCGCGCAGTTCCACTGATGCGACCTTTGAAATAGGCATCAGTTTTGCCTGAAAAACACCGCAGTAGTCATGAGGGCGGAAGTTAGCTGCTTTTAAGGAACCAGCTGATTGGCTGCTATTGTACGCGATGCCAGTAAGGGAGCTTAATGTAACCTCATGAAGCCAGGCGACAATTACAGCCCTTTTCTCCCTTACGGTATACTCTAAGCTACTAGCAGAATACCTGACTTCTCGTTCCTGAGATCGTTCGATCGCGCCTGAGTAGTGAATATCATAGGAAACCGTCTGGCTGATGAGTAGGAAAAGAAAGACTGGAAGTTCGCTTGACTACATATGGACGTCTCATGCAAAGATGCGCCTCGTGTCAACTAAGCGAACACTAGGCGAAAACCAGGGCATGTGCTACTGAGAAGTCTTTGCAGGCCGAGAGTGAAGCAGATACGAGCTAGGTAACTCTTCAGGCTCCCAAAGCTGCAGCTCCCAATTCATGTGGTAATGACAGTATACTGTCAAATCGTACCGCCATTTTCATAGCCCAATAGGGGAGGACGGGGTGGGATTATATCAACAACGCCATTTGGACTGCCCAGCTTTTGTTAGACTGTACTTGGAATTGCTCTTTCTAGCCGGCATGGAGGAGCTCTCTAAAGTCGACACCTGGCGCCAGCCAGACGTTGTTTATTATCTGTACTGCAATCACATTGGAGCAATGCTCTTGATCTAAGTTTGACCCTTGTCTAAGGGAAACCATCTTAACCTAATAGCAGACTGTTTGTTAAAAAACCGCACTAAAAAGCCAAAAATGTTTTCAAGAAAATTTACTTTGCAAATCCAACTATATTGAGCCAAAATATTTTAGCAAAAAAATGCGTTTTTTCGGGTATGACTTGTGGCGCACTTAAATACATAATTTTATGCTCATACATACATATATATAAACTTTTGTATCTAACAATTAAAAACCCAAAAAGTTGCCTTTCTCCACCTATTTGTTCACCTATTTCTTATTTCTTTCGTTTCAGAGGAAATCTATTCATGCGAAAAA